TATGCAAATTATAAACCTAACAGAGAGGTGATATATCATTTTTATTAAACTTATGCTGCACAAATAGTGTTTACATAGAAGAGTATAAAGTTAATTCCCTCCCGGGCGGCATTTCTAAAAAATATAAATTGTATTTTGAGAGTTAATCAATTTGTTTTTTCTCTTTTGGCATTTTAATTGAAGCTTCCAAACCGTATGCTTCCTCAAAGTATCAGAAGGCAAATATCAGTCGTGCGGTTATAAAATCAACTCTTAATTTTCTTTCAATGAAGTAGCAGATAGTCAGCCTGTAAATTTTACCTATATTACTATGGAGCCGCAGCGCTATAAATTCAAAACAGTGTGCAGGTTGGTGGAAATTGAGGTCCAGGCAGCAAGGCATGTCCATAAACTTTTTTCAGGTTATTGGAACAGAACGAATCAAAAGCGGTTCCTGGTTGTATGATATTCTCTTTTGATAGAGCAGGCTGCTTGTTGTTAGCAATCCAAGTGCAGAGGTTAGTCAGAGCAGAATGTAATTTCTAGCAATCTGACAGACCTGCGGATTGAAGCGGCAGGTTTTCCCTTCCGATTTCAGGGAATTGCTTCTTACTGTGACAAATGATTAGCTGTTATCTCTGACTGAATTTGATTTCTACAAGCAGCTGAGTCAGGTAACTTTGCAGCGTTTGAGGGGGTTTTTTACAGGAAATGAAATCGGCTCCCTAGTCATATGTGGACCAAATGAAATCTTCTCTGTCAGGGCAAAATTGTGCTTTTGGTTAATTGAAGGCAGATTTAGCATAGAGGGTGTGTGTGATGCTCTGATGGTGTAGGCAGGCACACCCATGTGTATACATTTACAAGAACGAGGGATCATTTCATGGATTCTCTTCCAACTTTGAAAATCCTGGGTTCAAACAAAATCCCTACATTCTGAGCAGGGTTGAAGCTTTTAGTATAAACTATTAAGTGGGGACAGTCGTGTGGGTGTCAGAATAATGAGCCTTCATATAAGGATGTCCTGTTTCAGAAGAGTTTGAACTGCAGTATTAATCAAAACACAGTAGATACACACTGAGCATGGTTTTGACAAAAGTATTCATCAAAGGGCAGCTGCGTTCAAAGCAAGAGATTTAGGTAAAATAAGTTAATCCTCGATCTCATCCAGGTTTGTGTGTAAATTTTGAATAGGGAGGGGTTCTAGTGATGGCAAGCTTCCTCTGGATGATAAAACAAAAAATGTGGCATG